TGCGATTGGATGTGTGGGCAAGGGGTGCAGACGGCAGCACTCCAGGGGCTCACAGTCCTGACAGCAGCTTATCCACACAAGCAAGAATTTTTGTATTTAGTACTCAAACTACAGAGGCAGAGTAAATGGCACCGAACAAATCACTAGTCGCTGCTTAATAGTATGTTGAAGTCTAGTGGAGTTGGAAGGTACTGAGTTTCCTTCACCAGTTTTAATTTTTTTTCACATTTTTTATGTATTCGCCAAACCTTTCCCACCTGAGTTAACTTTTTTTCGGTCTGATTATTCGCAGTTCGATGGAATTACGGGAGCATCCGTTTTTCAAAGGAGTCGACTGGCAGCAGGTATACTTACAAAAATATCCACCACCACTCATTCCGCCACGTGGTGAGGTCAACGCTGCGGACGCATTTGATATTGGGTCGTTCGACGAGGAGGATACCAAGGGTATTAAAGTATGTCTGTTCGTTCTCCACTGCGAGTCCTCTACCAGTTCCAACCATAACAGTAGTAATGGTGACGAGGTATATGAGTAAAACGAATCGGGTGGTCGGAGTCGTAGTGGACACATTAGTTCAAACCATTTGGCTTATTCGTTTGAATCTACCAGCCACTGTTGTATTAGGCACACAGCTTGTGGTTTATCAACATGCGACTAGGGATAGAAGGAGATAGCCGAGCTTCGAGAAGGATATGGCGAATATATAATTGGCTACAGACTAAATACATTGCTCAGGCGACCCCTGCTCAAATAATCACCATGTATTTTACAGATAAAGTCGACTGTGCTCCAATGTAATCAAGGTGATGTTTTGACATGGCTTATTGATCTGACCAGCTAGCTGACAATCTAGCACTTGAGTGTGAATAATTCAGCTATTACGTGTGAATGAATCTGCTAGGAATAACTGGTATTCATTACTACTCTGCGCAGCCTACGACGTATCAAACAGCTAGAACCAATCACTAAGAGTTTATGTATTTGTCGTAAGATGTTCTGTTTCGCATGGGAGTTAATGACACCTTTGAGATAATTCTGAGGGTCAACTGACTCTTGAATGATAGATAGGACAACGAAATTCTTAACTGGTCTTCCTGGAGTGGTTCAAAGTGGCTGCTTCATTGCTTGTTTCATTCTGTGTATTACATTCTGCGCATTACATTGCTCAAAGTGACACCTGGCATCCAGCTTGCTCAACATATTTCTTGGTTCTCATTTTGGCGCAGATTTTTTGAGCGACAAATAATTTGCTGCCCGTTTGCTCTTCCAGCTAACGGAAACCGATCAGGCGTTGTACCAAAATTTCTCCCTGGTTGTGTCTGAACGTTGGCAGCTGGAGATTGCCGAAACAGTGTTCGATGTCGTTAACCAAGAGGCTGACAAGATGGATGCGAAGCGCGCTCGTGCCCGGCAGCGATCCAATCAGATTGCAGACGAGATCGGACAAGCCACATGTATTACTTCAACTCCGACAGGTGGATCATCTCAGCAAACCATGGTTGGAGGAAGCTGTAACATCTCTGCATCCACACCACCCACAATGGGTGGCGATGGATTGACACAGGATGGCTTCGCGTCTGATTGCATCGTGGAAGGCGAAGTACTTAAACTTGGTGGCCCTTTTCTACAGACATGGCAGCGAAGGCATTTGCGTTTGTTTCCTAATCGTCTAGAACTCTATAATAAATCGCGGGATGGTCTTGTCTTGAAGAAAGGCGTTGAAGTAAGCGCGATAAACTTAGATTTTATTTAACCTCGAATATTTCTTTTACCAGTAATGAGTATTCTTTTCCTGGGTTGCGCAAACATGCAATCTGCTCGTTCTCGACGCTTGCTTCTGATCTGATGTCATGTGTTCATTGTTCAATCTGTGTGCAAATTTAGTCTTATTTAACAGAACCCACTTTGGGTAGCATTACCCTCTGTTACCATGTGCAAATCTTCAACTGTAGAAAAAAAAGCAATACCTATCATCGGTGAACCTATTCATGATTCACAACGAATGCTTCAGTGGGGCTTAGAATTCTAAAGGTGCTTGGCTTTTTGCTGCTTCCTGTGGACTGGGCGTTTGGACTTTTGGACATGACGTGCATTTGCTTACCAAGGGGACTATCTGCAGCAAACACTAGAGTTTTGTGCACCACTTAGCTCATTAATGTTCTTGAACGCGCTGGATCTTTCACTTAACCGAAGTACTTTGTTCGCACATTATATTGTCCACGTCCTTCTGTATCTATTCATTCATATTCATACATATCCAATTTACTGATCTAAAATACAGGCTCGTAACCCAGCGACTCGCCCGGGACTTACCCCCATTAAAAAATAGATAGAGGTGCCTGGACGCGATTCAACCCATTTCAGAACGTAAGAATGTAGCGTGTTTGAGCTAAAAAAGTTTGCCATAGGACCGTGATTTGTCGAAACGAGTCCAGTAGTACGGCATGCACACATTGTGATTTCTTTCCGACCTGATGTGGCTCTCGCAATCAATCTGAATTTACACTGGGAGAACAATGCACACAGGCTGCTTGAATTAGGTCTACAATTCGTTGGGATTCGAAATACCCTAGGTTTCCTGTGTAGCCTCCACTTACCCTGGACATTAAAACAGTATTCTAAAATCCTGATATGAAGTTCGGCACAATTGCTTATTCATCTACTCCTTTCCTGTAGCATTTGAATTTCGAAGCTCACTTCGCTGTACGTGACGCACTATCCACCTAGCAATTTAGAAGAAGCTTTGCAGAATTGTAAGGGGTCATGATTACACGATACAGGTTCATCCATTTACCCCATGAAACCATGAATAATAACTGTGCGACTCCTCCACCGCACTGCCCTCTCTTTTACACTGCTTGAACTTGTTAGAACGCAGCAGTGATATATGGATAAATGGCTGATTTCAGCCTTCGTGGTCGTCAGCCGTTTCGTTATGTCTGTCTCTCTGTTTCCGTGATATAGCATCGCCATCTTTTTACTGACGGAGTTTGGCTGCGGGTTAATGAGCCCATCGAATAGTCAGCTACAATGTCCTTTCTTAATCCCTAGTTTACGCGAACTGAATCGCAGCCTAGGGTAGGTTGCTGCCTATGCGGTAATTCTACTTCACTGATTTCGAAGGCACTTTTTCATGGCTGGCTGGTTAGTACCGTTAGACAGGATTTAGTGTGGTTGATTAGATCCGTCAATTTCATCTCCAGGTTTCAGCCATCTGTAGGTGATTTTTGTACGGACGACGTTTTGTGTTGCAACCACTAACCGTTTCGGACAGGGTAGTGTCGATAGTTGGACAAGCTTCTGTCCACTGATTTTATTATTCACGCGCACACAGAGCTACTGAAAAAATCTTCAGGCAGCTTAGTTCGACTCAACGTCTGTTAAGCCTGTCCATGGCAACCAGAACTGAAGATAATGAAATCAACAGAAGAACGGTAGAGCTTTCCACATAGGTCTCATTTGTCCAATAATGAAAGGTTTTCCATCTAGATTTTAATGGCCATGCCTTAAGGTCATTTTTAGTTTAACCATTTTACATACGGTGGCTTGACGACAAGATCACGAAAGCGCCTAGTTTCGTCATTTTCTATTTTAAGAGTGAATGGCAGATCTGCATGGCAGTTTACCCACGTGACAGAAATAGGTTGGCCTTAAACCAGCGTGGACAATTTTATGCTGCATATTTGTTTTAGTGTCTTTATGAGGACAGATTGTTTGGGCGTGCTTTTGTCTGGTGGATGTTGACCTGATGAAGCCTCATCGATCGGTCTATAGCCACGGTATTGTACAAGCGTTGTAGTGTGTTGATTATTGACCGGGTTTAGACCACATATTTTCACCACCTGTTACACGAACTACATTTATCTGCATGTTCTTTCTCTTCCCGTCACGTGCCCCAGTGGCGTTAAGTCGTCCACACATATCTTTCTTGGCCTGCGTAACTAGGTTTGCAAGTCGTGCGCCGGTCGCTTGTTCATGCTGGGTCTATTTGGGGCACAACGACAGGAATCTTTGTGAAGGGTGAAGATTTGACGTCGTTGTGCTAATGCCTATTCTATTGTGCGTTGACTACTTGAGGTTCTTTTGTCTTATTAGTTNGCGCCAGTCGCTTGTTCATGCTGGGTCTATTTGGGGCACAACGACAGGAATCTTTGTGAAGGGTGAAGATTTGACGTCGTTGTGCTAATGCCTCTTCTATTGTGCGTTGACCACTTGAGATTCTTTTGTCTTATTAGTTAGTCTTTATTATATTATATTATATTATATTATATTATATTATAATTACGTGTACGTATATATACATGAGGCTGCCTGGTGCTGCACATTCATCTGCTCAAAAGCATCATAAACGAGAAATTCAGCTGGGCTCCAGGTGAGTCTGTCACAAAACCAAATTGGTTTGCCAATGAGTTTACTTCGCTAACTTCGTGCAATCCGGCTTCAAGTAGAACATAAGGTAGACGGAAGTTTGGGGACTGCGCCTGCCTGATGAGCCCCAAGAAGGGCGAAACCCGTCGTGGGATGTCAAAGAGTTTTCAACAACCTCATGAGTAGAGGATTACGTCTATAGAGCTGGCCTGTTTGAAAAAATTTCCTCTCAGCTCGACATTTTACATCGGTCTCGTTTGGTTACGATTATTTCAGTTACTCCTCACCAGGGAGATGGCTTTGTCTTTGAGTTCCTATCTAATCAGAGCAGGTGTAAACTTATTGGTATGTTTGAGTATACAGGAAACATCGATATTAGGGGCGGCGGGAATTTCTTACAGTGCCGCTTACCGTATTTATTGCGTAAATTACCAGTTATAGAACACCATTAGGTAAGCTGGATTGAACGTGCGTGCAAATTGAATCTGTATATTAATGCGTACAGGAATTGAATTTATGTTGATCGATGTTGACTTCACTGCTCAACCACGAGAAACTAAAGAACGGCGATACAACCAGACCACATTCGGGAATCCATCGCATTCGACCGTATCATAACATCTAGGAATATGGATATCAATGCCAGCACACTTGTACATCTTGTTAGCGGTCTCTGGTGGGGAAGATGAAATTACCAAAGCAGACGCTTGGTCGAGAACACAGTTTTCAAAACTTTCTCCAGTCCTCCCGGACTCGAAGACCATTTGGATGCAGATGCCCACTTGAATGTAGCGTCAAGCCGCCATACGTTACCCGGTGTTTCAACATAGGCTGATACCGCAGGCAAAGTAGAATTTCATGAAATCTCATTGGGCGGTGAAGCATCGGTGTTGAATACTGATGTCATGCTGTCGATGATGATGATGAAATCTCACCATTTACGTATCGATACACTTGTTTTCTGCATTGTGATACCGATGTAATGATCGGTTTTCATTACCCATGAACTTTCTTTCGATGATTTTCACAATCGTTTTTGAGGATTGCCAAGCACCTATCATTTGACCTCGGGGTCTCGCAAAATTCCCGCCTCAGGTATTCTGAGGAGGGTTGATGTTTGCTGGAGTCTTTCGATTCGGGCCCCGTGCATGCATCTGATGTACGTTGATTGGACGAAGGAAGATAAACTTGAGTTGAGAATCAAATATTTGGTGGAGCGTTTGCTTTGGAAGTTTACTGTCCTGATTATTGCTTTGTCAACTAACCATTGTTTAAAAACCCTTTGATATCTGTGGGACTCGCAAACGGAGACGAGACACGAAAATTTACCTATTGACACAGACGAAGTTATACCGTTCCCAGTGGTGGTCGGTTTTGTTCAGCGGTTGGCATGACAGTACAGTTTCATGTTCCTTATGATAGATTGTCATTGACAAAGGGTAAGAAATATCGAGACACGGTGATTCAGATGACACTGGACCTCTCACACTAGTGTGAACAGTTGGTAGGGGTCTTGCAACCGGTTTCTCGACTCTATGTGTGATGGATTGTTGAACTCTCTTAATTTACTCTGCAAAATTCAGGATTTTCTGGTGATCGTCTGTCAGCTAGCGACTTAGGGCTTCTGTTCTGTAAGCTTTTGTTTGGGGGCATTCTGAACTCCCAATACCTAATACAAGTATGAGGTAAGAAAGTAGGATACTTTCATCCCCCCTATCTATTGTGCTATAGGGCTCCCAAGCTGCCACAGCGACTAGCCGAAACGAAGTCAGACACTTCAACCTTGGCACTCATTGCTGTATAACATCTGTGTTGTAGGCATTTAGCTATTGCCAAGTTGTTCAGGAGTATACCGAAGTTATAAGGGGATCCGATTACAGGCCTTTCAGTCATTTGGTCACACTTTGATCTATGAATTAACTCTAGGTCACTCACAGCAAAGCAGATAAGTCAAACGGCTTTAATGATGAAGCCCTTATGGTTGGCTTTCAGTATCTTGCTCGGAAGCCGTAATTCTCCAGATTCCAGCGGCCGGCGTACCGACTTTTTGCGGAGTAAATGTAACTCTTAAACATCAGTACTCATTTCTTTCATGCACATCCTGATGCTGTCTACTACCCTTAATACATTACCACTGACCCAGATGCCTGAACCCTTACATACCGAAAGCTACTGCAATATCCAGCCTGTAGTTGTTTAAATTGTCAATGCTGAACTCAATCGTAGCATCCTGAACCACCACATGTTGTATTCAAGTAGAATATTTTTGTGGTGAAACTATTCAATGCAAAGGACCGGCCTATACTTTCCGTGACCGACTTAGTTACCAGCTGATAATGAGGATTCCGTCCCGGAAGCCCCTTTCCCCTCTGTTTTAGTATTTGGCTGTTAAGCACTTTTGTCATCTGTTATATCTTCTGATTCATCAATCTGTGGTATCTGCTGCTGACCCGTTCCAGTGCCTAGTGTCGGAGAGAAAAGACTCACAGAAGTGAACACAACAGCTCTATTCCGAACAAGCGAGCGAGTGAGAGTGCAAAAGTTACAACGGCCCCACGCTATTTAAAGGGGACTTTCTGACATTGATCCAGGCTGTCTGATAGGCGTTAGTGATCACCCATCAACATCGATCGTGCCTCTGTGAAAAGCCTGAACGCTGATCACATTCGGTCGTGCTTCTGTGGCGCAGAGAACACTCATCAGGTTTTACTGAATTGATCGAATGATTGCACCAGGTCTTGCTGAATTGATTGAATGGTTGATTGGCCTGGATGCTTGCCGGCTTTCCAGTTGAGTTTTTGGTGGAGCAGTAGGTTCCGGGTGTTCTGAAGCTGCTTTCAGGAATCTGACCTTCCTGATATCTTCGAACTAAGCCTGCCTGTATGCTTAAGATTTTACTATTTAGCGTCTACTGGAAGGTGGATATAGATGGGTTGAAAAGTTTCGGTCTGTTTCCACCCTGCTGAGTCCGAATACACAGAAGAGACCTCGTGCAGATGTGCTTTTCAGGATCTTAACACCCCTAAAAACATCCGATCGAAATTCTAACCCACAGCTTAGTAATTACTCGGTCTTGTGCGAGAATCCATGGTTATTCAGATAAGACATTCCAGGTATGTACCAGTACACCTTGTTTTGATTGCCTTTCCCAAACTGAGGTGGTGTCAACGTCAAACCAGGACAAATCTTTGGTTGGTGTTCATCAGGCGGAATGGCAACGCAATGGCAACCTCAGTATTCAACTGGCTTTAAACAAACAAACAAACAGATAACATCATAACCATAATTTCTGAAAGCATTTTCTAAAGTAAATTCATTAAAAATATTTTCTTTAGAGGGGGGAAAAGCACTGGCAACCATGCACAAAACCCAGCAAATTCATGGTTTGGAAAAGCTATTTTGCGCGATACCTCTCCTCTCTAGTCTCTTACAGTATATGCAGTACTTCAGATGCAAGATACATGAATGCAATAACATGGATGTTAGCCTGGATAATTTTCGCAAACTGTCAGGTGTACACTTTAAGGCTCGAAAATATCTTGATGCACGCACTGCCGAAAATCCTAGGGCAGCGGACATTGATTAGTTTGGGGGAGATTGAATGCCGTCTGCGACTGAACTTGTCACTATTTTGTCACGTTGGTTCATTTAGTAGAAGAGTAGAATGAATGCATGCAGTCACACGTAACACGTGCTTGGTTAGTATTATTCGAGAGCAATAGCTGTTGAATTTTCAATGGGAAGCCCTAAGAATGGTTTGGAGACTTGGTTGTCCGTCGGATTATTGGAGCATAACACATTCCCAATCTGTTTCGAAAGTGGGGTTAGAGCAAACTTTGCCTCAGAAGCATTCCTTGAGCTCAGATTGGAGATCCTATCATAAATCCTAGAATTGCATTGAAGCCTTCAAGCAACCCAGCAACCTTGGTCTCCTATGAAGAGCTGGTCTCTTATTGAGAAATGGTATCTCCTGAGAATGATCTCTGGAGTCTGACAAACTGTAAGCCTAAGCCTATCCCATTCGCAGTCCATTGTTGTTCTTGCCCTGCTTTGGGCTCGCAAAACCTGTCAATCTAATTTGATGATTTGCGCATGGTTACTCGACTATTGAGTACAGTGAGTGCTCATACATATTCATATCACAATGCATTTCAGTCGCACATATCAGTCTTTTCATTTTCAACTCTAAGACGTCTTTTGCTCCAAAGAGGGTGGTGTCAGACTGCTCGGAAGAATGGAACAATTCGGGTTATTCTAACTTGTTATGCAGGCATAGGTGTTTGATGCTTTGAATAGCTGAGTCTGTCGGACACTGCCCCGTCGGCTTACTGAAGGTCTTCGGGAAACATTTTGAGCATTTGTATCTGCGCTTCAGTAATTCGGTCAAGGGGTTATTCGTGAATTCGATACCTTATGCCCGCGTAGCAGCGAGTTTGTAACGAAGTTGAGCGCAACTAAGGATACCTTTAAAAAGAACACTTCCAGTGAGCTATTCCACCCTGTTTGATTACTCTTAACGTATATAACAAAAGTAGCATTGCAGAGGCAGGTTCGCCCTGTTAGGTCAGCCGTTTGACTGACATTTCTCCTTTCCTCGTTGGTTCTACCAAGAATCTGCCAGCCTCAATCCAACTAAAAGGATATTTCAGAAGCATGTACACATACGACCTCGTTTTTCTTTTCAGTTGATTTCCATGCTGGATATTAAGGAGATCGCGCCAGAATTCTCCCGGGTTTGTAAAATGGATAACTGTATTTGCATCAAGCTCAAAAACGATAATCGTGTGTACATAACTTCGAATGTAAGTTGTGTTGTTTCCTGATTCTCTCTTGTTCCGTGAAAAGCGGTATACAGTATGCCACCAGTTCATTTTGACTGTCGCCTTCAGTAGTTGACTATTTCTATTCATTTCTATACAAACAGCTGCAGCAGTTCGTCGGATTAATCTTTCTGATCAACTGGCTAAACTGGCTAGTTTCGAATGACATTTAGTCCTCAGATTTTCATCAGTCTTTTCCAGAATTCAAACTGTTGACCATGACTCACGATATCACAACGAAGCACACCAAAATCCCTAGTCAATCACAGGAAATACGGGGTTGTAGAACATGAACGAGTTCCCTAATTTTGCTTCAGGCTGTATAATTATGGAGTTTTAGACATTCCAAAAGATCCCAGGTGTTCCAACGTTTATGGACCACTCAAGCAGGTAGTTATTTACTCTGTCACACATATCTAATATTGCTGGTGAGTGTATCATGTGTCCCTGAGTGTTGGTGGGGTTTAGGTTGGATTAGAAGAACTGCTCAGACTCACTGAAATGTTCGCAACAGGCGAGTAGCATCCTCACCGAGCGGATGATACGTGTGTAAGCGGTTAGTATGCAGAGAATTCCTAAGTAAGCGATGCCCGATTGAGTGTTGTTGACTGCCAACTGCTACTTTTAAATGTTCGAAATATGTTTTGTATGTGAGGCATTATAGACTGAGTAGGTGGGGACTGCGACAAACGAGGGTAAAACACGAAAAGTGTTTTGGTTTGCATTATTGAGCTTACTGAATACCAGATCATGAAGTGTGATTAGACCCACTCTCATCCAATATTTATTGCTTTACGCTAAGTGCTCCCGTCTAGCGATGATGGTGATGCCTATGTACTTCTATCCTACAAACGCACATAGCCAATACCAATTATGGTTACTTACTTGGAAGATGAAGTCATAATCTCCCGAACATCCTCGCAAAGTATGGAACGGTGACACTTAATTTAGGCAGGCGGTAAGCCTTCATTCAATGTGCTCTCCAAGGGTAACCGTTCTAGTAAACGTCATTTTACTATTTTCGAAACTTTTTTCGACCAAACAGATTAACCTGGTTCTGTCTATGTGGAAACGGATTGACAGCCCAGCTGATTGAGAATCTACATATTGACTTGATGGTACATTATCTTGGAAGCCATATATCCTAGATTATTGTGGAGCTATCTGTATTTCGCGATCTGGCATTCAGTGAGCCCAGTAAATCGGACCGAAACACGACCCACGTCTACTCTAGTGTTCACCTAAACAGTCTATTGCGGCTCACAAACCCAGAAAATTTTGAACAGTAGAAAGTAGCAGTTGGCAGTCAACAGTGCATCATCATTTACTCGGTCATCGTTCACTTACGCATCATTTGTATGCGCATTGTCCTCTCGGCCAGACATCTCTCATCTACCGGGAACATCCCAGGAAGTCTGAACAATTTTGTTTACCGAACCTAAACATCATCGCCACCCATGGTTGTGTGATTCAATCAGTGGCCCGATTAGATAAACGTGGGTATGTATGAACTCCTTTGGCAGTGTAAATAACTACCTACTTAGATGTTCCTCAGCGGCGAAACAACCGGTAAATTTGCAGTGCTGAAAGCCTCAACTGCATAGTATGAAGCGAAATCATCAGTATGTTCATCCAGCTCTAGAACGGAGCTGACTGTTGGTTTACTCGGCCTATTGTTTATTCTTATAATTTGTATTTTCTCATTCATATGAGGGAACTTTCAGAAGATTCCAATGAGTTTAAAGTCATGTGGTGGGTTTCTCGGGAGGTATATTGTTCAGTTTTACATCACCCTCATTTTGAACAGGTGTCCGGAGTTCAACCCCCTGCACGGCCATTGGATGTGCACTGCTGATGAGCTCTAACAAGAGTGAAACTCGAGTCCAGTGCTTCCCACTTTTGGTGTGGATTCACATGAAAGGAGGAGGACGACTGATCAAAACGAGGGTGATGTGAAACTAAGCGAGTTTAAAATCCTTGAGGGTTCTATTACAAGGTATTTTTGATCGGAGCCTTCATTGGAAGTAGTTTGCTTTACATCGTATTGCCTGTACGGTCTAGTTGGCGTGCTCCACAACAGGTAGTCACTGTCAAATTCTCTAAATGAGGAGTTCACCTACACGCCGTTTGAACGAAAAGACATGCCTGGGTGTGGGTTAGGGCCCCTAGCATCAGTGTCACTGCTTCCATTTGATACAAGTGGGTGCAAACCACATGCATTTGTTGACCGTTAGTTGATATTCGGGTCATTTTGAACCAGGTTCGAAGTTTGATGTGGCTAAACTAGTGATTCAACTAGTTCGGTCCACATGAATCTTAAGTGTCCTCGAAAGTTGGTGACTAAACCTGAAAAGCGGAAATCGGTGAATCTGGGCGATTTAAAATGTCTAGAAAAATGACTGAGTAATTGAGGGGTGGTGCGCATGCTGTTACACTTGGCAGTTTATATGTGGCACGAAAGGTTTATAGAAAACCCTATCTATAGATTGTGATTAGATGACCCTAAAACTAATCTGGATAACAGGGTTGTTTAAATGTTGTGTAGGGAAGTCACCTATTGGAGTTGTTGGGGCACCAAGGTGCTGTATGGACATTGCACCGGACTGGTTCTCATCGAGGATTTGAGTTTCGTAAACATTTTCCAAAAGTCCTGGAAGGGAAAGAGAAGCGGTTTGAGTGGCCTGCAGTTGTTGTGGTCTACATTTTTGGAACTGTTAAGACTGGGCCCTAATTTGGAATTGTCCAGTGGCATTGTATGTCAGTTCTGGGTACCCAGGTTTGGTATCGTATCGTAGGGTGAATGTTTATCAATAAAACTAAGATTTTGAGTTCCAGGCAAAGAAATGAATGATACCATGATATTCATCATCATCGTTGGATTATGTTTCGACAGATATACCATCTACCCGATCAGTCAGCCAGGATCCAACCTTAGGTTAAAACCGAGTGGTGTTTTCTCTTCGACTATACTCTCCATAAAGATTTACGGATGTGAAAAACCAGGTGTATCTTTGGTTTGCCCAGTTTGTCTCAAAGTTTTTATTTTCTAGGATTGAAATTACGGCAGTAGTTTTTATAAAACAGGGTGGAGAAATACTGTCTATGTTACTACACAATGACTCAACGTAGCTGTGGACCATAGATGTTTTAAAACTTTTGATCTGATTACGGGACTAACTTCATGGTTCAGGTCCTTGCGCATTACGATGTCTCTTATAAGCATTGACTTGTTTCATAATTGGTGGGGACCTAATGTCAGGCGGCGATCCTACTGAACCTGGAGCACTGTTCTATTGTGAGAAGTATCCACCTCCAGTTCTATTTAACTCTCTCTCGGTTTGCCATTTACTTCGTTCCCTAACGTTCGGTCTTCTGTAAATCGATGCTTTGTTCTTTTTTGACAGGGAGCATTTTGACTATTGCATCACATTCATTTTCCTTTTTTCCCCGCTAACAAACTTTCCTCTAGGATAAGGTCCTAATTACTCAATGGAAAGAAGAGATTCTCGACGGATACAGGTTGTCCTGTGAAATCATGTCTCACATGAACCGAAAGGCGCACAAAATGTACGGTGTTTTAGATCCTGTGGTAAATGCTGACGGAAATGCTGGCGGAGATGCCGGATCTTCCAATACTTTGCCGTCGCTAACCAACACCAGCTCCAATAGGACCATTTTACCTTTCAATAGCAGCAAAGCCTCTCCAAAATCTCATTCTCCTCCTCATTCAGGTAGCTCTTCAGGTCGCCCCCGCCTGAACCATCAAGCATCAATGCCCACATATCCTGTTAGTAGTTCCACATCACAACAAGTTCCTCCAGCTGCCTCACTTAACCCAAAAGGGAGCGACCAATCTCCTCACACTTTGGGCAGCTGTACTCTTCCCACGAGGCCAACAACACGAGCCACACCATCTGACACTGCAGAACCGGCTGACGAGTAAGACCCCCACACGTCACGGACAGAAGCAACTGTGTACGAGTGGGTGGCGGATAACTGAACATGGGCCAGTCTGCGCCGGATGCACGAAGTTTAGTGCAGACCTCATTCAACAAGTCCTTTTGCATTCCTTCTGTTTTCGCGTAGTTCTGGTGTTCTCGCTGATTTTTTTCCATTCTGTAAACTAGAACATCTGTATCCGCTTCGAGTAATAAATCGAACGGTGTGCAAAATTTTTGGGGTAGCCGGAATTATTCGGTTGGTCTTATCGGTAATTATTGAACAATCCCGAACCAGAGATTTTAATGGTTTCGGGTGCAGTCTAGGCGCAGGTTTCAATCCTCTAAGAAACCTATCCCACCTCCACAGTGTCCTGTACAGAGAATTTGTTTTAACCGAAAATTATGCCCTAATTTTAGTCAGTTGAAAGACAGAGAAAACATACTGTGAAGTTTTTTGTGTCTCTCTCACTGCTCTGTCCAGTCCCGTGTGTAATTTCACACCACAGGTTTTGTCAGCCTATTTTATTACCAAATCATTGTCCACAAACGCATTCTTTCTTCCTGAGCTGTTGCCAGGGCCTTTCCCTTATCACGATTGTGATTATACGCATATTTTTCCGCTGCCCTTCCAGGTGCATTTCACACCACAGTTTACCAACAAGCATTTACTTTTTTGGCTCTTCCTTTCAGACTAGTATTTGGGTCACAAACCATTGTCGTCGTGATAGTTGGCGTTGTTTTCTCTTGTACTTTGCTTTTGTTTGGCTTGTTTCACCGCCGTTCCCTGTCTCATGTTGTTCTTTTGACTCGAAGACATTTAACGCAAGTCCTTCAAAATTTTGGCACAGAAGCTGTAGATATTCACATACTGAATCGCTTCTTTGGGGCGGCTCATTCTCGATTGTATGGATCGACACATATAACACTATTGTGTACACCGATGGGTTGTTTCCCCTGTATACTTGTCCTTCAAATGGATCTCTGCATTCGTGCTGTCAATCGAGAAGTTTGGTTTACCGAATTGTAGGCTCTCATCCGTATGCTTCTGTTGTGATTCGATGATGACCTAATCTAATTTACCCGGGTGACTTCTGTTTTAGAAACTCTGATCACTATATGCGTTCGGTTTATCCTGCTTCTCCGATCCGTTGTCTAGCACCTCATATTCTTTATAGACACAGAGTGTTTTCAGTCTTTCCTAAAGACTCTTGTGAATTACATTACACGGCACCTGGATGCTTGAGGCAGATACGTATGCAGAAGAGTGTTTCTCTTCGACCAGTAAATTATCTTTCTCCTGACCCTTTGTGTTTTTGCTCGTCATTGGTTGCTCTGAACAACGGATGCAAGGGCTCACCATTGCCTAGGATTCCTGTCGGTTCACATCAAGAGTCTGATTGTGTCCCTCTGTGCTGATAGTCGACAGAGGTTCTACAGTGCATTTGGTGCAATTCGGTATGACTTACGCTACAAGTCAGCCTCAATGGAAACCGGCATATCGTGAACAGAGCCGTCAGGTTTTAATTGTTGCCACTCGTTTGTCTAATAGACAAGTAGGTGAAAATGGTGTAAGCTTAGCTATTAGGTGTAAAGTAGCGCTTTCCGACGGTTAATTGTAAACAAGCAACGGGAGTCAACAAGGCCTTATCAAGATGACTGTGGCTCATGAGCTCTTGAGACATCATTCAGCAGCCTGTTGTTTTCACACTAGAGTGAATCAAAATTAGGGTAAACCAGCAGCACCAATTGGCATTCAGTTGGATATAGAAACATGACTAATCAATATTGCTGAGGTGGTTTTTTAAGTCGGTTAATTTTCAGACCTGATTTGCTGAGAGAAACAACATGGAACGGATAAATTCGACAGAGGTCGGAAACGTCCTTTCCGATATCTGACGTAATCAATTCAAACTAAACTCAGCGCTATTTGCTTCCGGATATGTTGAGGTTAATGTCACAGCTTGTGTCGGGCACAAGAATGGTATTTAATTTTTATGACTGACAACACAGAGACTGGTGTGTCAGTGCTTTTTGGTGTATTAAAGGTATTTGATAACCTGTTACTCGATTTGCTTACTTGTTTGGACACTCTTTGTGTACTCAGGACCGTTGGATGCTTTTCCGTTTAACCGACAGTGTTTCCACGTGCATGTTTACAACTGTGAACACGCTCCAAAACGGGCAGAATGTACACACCACACTTCGCGAAAGCCAGCTGTGCCTGTTTTTAGTTGTATTGTATTTAGCTTGTGTCGACACCTCGGATCGAATTATCATCCCTGGTCACTATCTCAATATCGATTTTCACATCCTCCTTACTCTAGTTTCATACTAGTTGACTGCCCTATACTTTATATTTCTAATCCGTAATTGATGTGGTAACACTGAACAGTTGCATGTCTCGAAATTGCGCAAACCCCAGTAATCCCGTCAAAAGGATCTTGGTGTTCACCTCAAATCGATTAGAGACAATCTGATGATTAAATATTTGACTCTCTTGCGACATGTCTTCCGATATGCGTAACTACATAAAACTACAATAATTATGGGCTTAATTTCACCCTCTGTAAGCCGATGCTTCTGGGAGCGTCACGATAGTGGGCATGCTTTCAGTGGATATTTTGAGTTTGGCTTTCTGTTGCCATAGATCCGTGTCTCCTACGCAGTTGCGGAGAGATTGAACTTGTTCATGATGCCATGGTCGGTGTACCTCAGCAAGCTGTCGAGCTGCGACAAAGCCTCCTAAATGGTTGATCAGTGGACGGCCCTCCAGGTTTGGGGTCTTCCTCTTGGAAGACCGGTGTACGAGCCAAAAAGCACAACATCCACGAATATTAGTGGATATGTGACACTTTCCTGGTGAATCGACCCGTACATTTTTGTGGTAAATGACAATGATGTTTGCCACATTTGTCCCTCTAATCGCCCAAATGTTTTGGGCATGGACCGGATAGAAGAGCTTGGTCTGTTGGATATGCCGCTTATTCTACTTGTGGTGCCCATATCACTAGCCATTTTGGGGCAGTTTGTAACTTTAATGGAGTTTCTAGTGAACTGTCAGCGATTCTGTACAACGCACATCAGACAAGTTTTCTGGTCTCCTCACGAACTATTTAGAAGAATGTACAAAAAGTCTAAGTTAAACCCTTCGTAGAACCAAGAAAAAGACTGATGTTTTGTCCCAAAAATCCTGTGCCGTAAGACCAATTTACCGGACTCAGCGGTGTTCTTGAAGATCGTTTATTGATGTATGCTTTCAGGCTCCGGTAGAAGGCAGTTGTAAAGACGTGCTGGCGATAAATACACACTGAGGGCGGTACAAATACATCAGACTGCCGTTTGGCGTCGAATGCAAACCAACAATGGCAAAATACACTCATTTGTATACCAATTTGGCTTTGACGGGAGACTCATCTGGAAGCAACTAAATCTCTTTTATGATGTTTTTATGAAGAGCGTATTACGGTATCTGCGGTGTTTTGCGGTATTTCAGCAATTTGGGGATACTACGCCTGAGGTGCTTCCGTTCGTCACACTTGTATACGGACAGTATCATCATCAAACTATTGGGCATTTATGGGTGTACGACAAGTGTGACAAACAGTACGTTTGCTTGATAAATTCAAGCAAGCTCTTCAGAAGCTGAATAGGAGGGGGGAGAACGAGTTAAGTTTTAGACACATTTGAACGTCCACCTTTCTAAACCGGACGCAGCCATACCAAACTAAGTCTCACCAGAGAGGGTTCTTCTTGGGTAGCGACTGAAAAAAGGCACTAGAAACCATGTTTTCAGTCAAACATTTAGGACAACGCAGCACTCAAATGGAGCGGCAATTTAACCAACATCCTGGAGCCAAGTCACGTTGATTTTATCCAGATGGCCACAGTTTCAGGAGCCCAGCTACCTCTAGGACTCTGGAACTGTGGCTCAGGAATGAAGTCACGTGTTATGTGACTTCAGCGCTCAGGGTAGAAAAGAAACTCATTGCCTTAACCAACTCCCACAATGGTACCCCAGTATCTGCACTAGAATGGAAAACACCAGTGCTTTACCTCTGGATATCTTGCTAAACCGCCCTCAGACATGAGCAAGGGTAACATGGAGGAAAATCCCTACATGGGTAATCTTGCATCGAAATATGACATTCGCGGCAAGCTTAGGTTGCAATCAAACGCGTCAATGAGGATCCCTTTAAAAAATCATCAGAATAGTATTCCAGTCTAACACAGCAGGATATTGGACGAAACACAGATAGCCAGACTTGTGATTGTACGCACACGTGCAGTCACGTGGTTTCTTTTGCCAAGAACGCAACACAGCAAACTAACCAATTATGTGTGCGGGTGGTTACTGATTCGGCGGTTTGTTAGTGATCACTTTGCCTTCGGTTATTCATTCCTTATATTCATGTACCATGTAAACAGTCGTTACATGATAATTTTGTGGCTTACCGATCCGCGTCCTCCTTACCCGTGTGGGGCAACTTAATAACAGGAATTCCAACTGCTGAAGTGCAAGCCTCTGCTGCTGCCTTACCGCTTCTGAATCACAACTGGTTACAAAACAATAACTGACTGGTGGACGATCTTCACTCAACTTAAAATCCAATGCGATGACCGATATACTACGTGAATCAACAATACAGCACAAGTATGGAACTAATCGTACCTGTGCGTTTATCCAATTGGTTGGGTCGAAATGCAGGTTAAAATTCTAATAACCATTGCCACATGTCTGTGTTAGATTAGATCGTCCGAAATATCGATCACCAGAGCTGTAACTCACCGTGTATGCCGTCAGTCACTGTGCAATTATCGAAGGGGTGCATTAGGTAGCAAGAAGTTTGGTTGTTGACCAGCAAACTGAGAAAACCTCGATCCACCTCTTATGTCGGTTCTCCCGGGGAATTTGATTCAGGTTACAATAGAGTTACCGAATATCGCGTAGACTTGCTTCACGTAATAGTGCTGTGTTTTCCCCCCAGCAACCTGGATAGTGTCACTTTCCGGTAACCCACCTCAACCCTTTTGGTTCGTCAGCTGTTCAGATCGTCCGGGGTTAGTGCACCTTTCGCAGTTTTATTTTCCAACTGTTGGAACCATCCTGGAAACGTGGGCATTGTCATTTTCCGCTCGAGTTTTACACTCTATCGTGTGAGGTGAGTGGGAGAGAACGAACGGCTTGCATTTGAACTTGAGATTACGTGCGAAGCAGTTCCGGCTGCAAAAGGAAGACAGCTTGGTGGATGAGAATAGAAGTGTAGATCAATAAAACAACGAAGGTACAAAATGGTCATGCGTGAACGCACCAAACAGTCTGGGTTAATTAAAAAAGGTTCTTATATTCATCGCTGCAAAGAGTATTGTGGAAACGCTAAACCCATATTTCTCATTTATATTAGGTCCAGAATCAAGGATAGGTTAAACATCAACATCAACCACTGAAAACTACGTTTTATTCCAGAATAATGGGCACGGCAATCGTAGAATCTACCGACCGAAACGGCAAAAAGGGGCTAGTTATGTGACATTAAAAAGGGGCGCGGAAAATTTGAAAAAAAAAACGTTGACGCGAGAAATTTCGAAATAGATGGTAAGGAAAATAGCATTCCTTTCACATATTTTACAGTTGTCCATATTTAGACATTCACACTCAGCCAATGCGTTGATACATTTTTAACGGCTTCGTTTTTATTCTGTGAGCTATCGTACTACACGTAGTTCACCGATTTATCGTTGGTCACATGAAACAATTAGTTTGAGGAATCCGTATACCTCAATCCAGTAGAAGAAGAAAACAAATTTGTTGGTAAGCAGATTCAGTGGAGGCGGCATACAAATGGCTTGATTCAGTCTATCAGTTTGCGAGGCTGAAGCGGACATCCAACAAATTTAAACAACTCGCTTAAACGGCCTAATGTGACTGTGTTCACATTTGGGGTATGCAGAGAACCGTCCTCAAAATGTCGGGGATCTCAACAATTGATTACTCGTGCGAGCTAGGGCAATGAGTGCAAGCGCGTGCCAATCTAAGCAGGATGCGCCCTATACACCAGGCTTTTAAGTAAGTTAGTTCGGCGACATCTCAGTGTCAGTGCCAAAACTATGAAATGTAAGCCTGAACGTCAGGAATTATGCTATCTCTGCCCCGTGAAGTTCCAATCAGGCCCAACCGTTTGGTAGTTTGCTTTTTCAAGACCGACCAACTTTGCATTGTAACTATCGCTGAAAGGTTTTGAACTCCTGTCTCGATAAATATCAGGTTTTTATGAAAGTCCAGGGACAACTCTTACCGAT